CTTGTCTCTTGTGCAAAGTTCTGCTATGAACACTGGAGTGCTTGTATCTTTTTGAATTATGGATTTGTAACTGATTCTCTTTGCTATACACCTGAAACTAACACAACATTGTCCATCAACGATACTCCAATAAAACCTAGAAAATTTAAATGAAGAATAAATTAACTAATTAAATAAAATAAAAGCCAGTGCCATTTTGTTCTCACCATTGCCCACGGTTCACTGTAGCTACTCCTGTTCCATGTGAGAGGCCGCTGCTCATGCAGGAAGTTTACCTCTGTGACTGGTGCTCTCTCTCTGGGAAGACCTTCTGATCTTCCTTCTCTTTCCTTCCTTTCTCCTCCTCGTGTTCCAAGTTCCCCACCATTTATCTCCGAGCTTCTTATTGATACATTTGCATGGGTCTGATGGTATGATAAATGTTTCAATAGCTTTTTCATATCTTAAAGGCCAATTCTTGTCCTCTTAAATGTCAAGGTCAGTGATCATTTTTGCAATTACGTGAAATTCCAATCTCTAGAGACAGATCTGATAGGTGGAAGTGGCTTTGGTCACATAGGGTTAAAACGCATCTCTCCTTGCTGCCTCCTTGGTGAACCCTCACCTGTATTTCTTCACATCTTCCCTCGGGGAGTGGTTGGCACCACATCTGCATCTTTTCCACCTGTCACTTAGAAAAGCAGACATTTTATAAAAGCTGACTATAAAAAAGAAGAAGTAGCCAGTGAATTAAACTAACCAAAATAGCTGCAAAAATCATCCTGATATTCTGACTTGGATTCATTTTCAGATACGTGTTTACAGAAAACCCAAGACGTCTGAAAACTAATCACTGTCATAATCACTCCTGTTTCCGGGTAACATCTGGCTACTTCTCCTTGCTCATCCGTGTGGGTCCCATAGCCCCAGTCTTCTGTTCATGGCTCATCTCTGATTCTCTGCACTTCTTTCTCATTCCCACCAGAAATAAAAAGCCACATCACCCTCAAACACCTTTAAAATTCTGTGCATCCAACTTGAAGGGACTGTGGCTTTGGAAAATCCAATATAGGCAGCAAAGAGATTTCTGGGAGTGGGAGAAAGAATCCTGTCCTCCTAGATGGAGCTCATGGAAGAAAGATTTAGGAAATTCAATCAACGTTTCATGTAGTCATCCACAAACACCTGTTCTGGGGACTCTGAGCAGCTCACAAGAAACAAGGACTGGACAACACTGAAATACAAAGGATCATAAGAGACTACTACCAGCAGCTCTATGCCAATAAAATGGACAACTTGGAAGAAATGGACAAGTTCTTAGAGAAGTATAACTTTCCAAAACTGAACCAGGAAGAAATAGAAGATCTTAACAAACCCATCACAAGCAAGGAAATCGAAACTGTAATCAGAAACCTTCCAGCAAACAAAAGCCCAGGACCAGATGGCTTCACAGCTGAATTCTACCAAAAATTTAGAGAAGAGCTAACACCTATCTTACTCAAACTCTTCCAGAAAATTGCAGAAGAAGGTAAACTTCCAAACTCATTCTATGAGGCCACCATCACCCTAATTCCAAAACCAGACAAAGATGCCACAAAAAAAGAAAACTACAGGCCAATATCACTGATGAACATAGATGCAAAAATCCTTAACAAAATTCTAGCAAACAGAATCCAACAACATATTAAAAAAATCATACATCATGACCAAGTGGGCTTTATCCCAGGAATGCAAGGATTCTTTAATATCTGCAAATCAATCAATGTAATACACCACATTAACAAATTGAAAGATAAAAACCATATGATTATCTCAATAGATGCAGAAAAAGCCTTTGATAAAATTCAACATCCATTTATGATTAAAACTCTCCAGAAAGCAGGAATAGAAGGAACATACCTCAACATAATAAAAGCTATATATGACAAACCCACAGCAAGCATCACCCTCAATGGTGAAAAACTGAAAGCATTTCCCCTGAAATCAGGAACAAGACAAGGGTGCCCACTCTCACCACTACTATTCAACATAGTTTTGGAAGTTTTGGCCACAGCAATCAGAGCAGAAAAAGAAATAAAAGGAATCCAGATAGGAAAAGAAGAAGTGAAACTCTCGCTGTTTGCAGATGACATGATCCTCTACATAGAAAATCCTAAAGACTCTACCAGAAAATTACTAGAGATAATCAACGAATACAGTAAAGTTGCAGGATATAAAATTAACACACAGAAATCTCTTGCATTCCTATACACTAACAATGAGAAAACAGAAAGAGAAATTAAGGAAACAATACCATTCACCATTGCAACAAAAAGAATAAAATACTTAGGAGTATATCTACCTAAAGAAACAAAAGACCTATACATAGAAAACTATAAAACACTGATGAAAGAAATCAAAGAGGACACAAACAGATGGAGAAATATACCGTGTCATGGATTGGAAGAATCAATATTGTCAAAATGGCTATACTACCCAAAGCAATCTACAGATTCAATGCAATCCCTATCAAACTACCAACGATATTTTTCACAGAACTAGAACGAATAATTTCACAATTTGTATGGAAATACAAAAAACCTCGAATAGCCAAAGTAATCCTGAGAAAGAAGAATGGAACTGGAGGAATCAATCTGCCTGACTTCAGACTATACTACAAAGCCACAGTCATCAAGACAGTATGGTACTGGGACAAAGACAGAAATATAGATCAATGGAACAGAATAGAAAGCCCAGAGATAAATCCACGAACCTATGGTCACCTTATCTTTGACAAAGGAGGCAAGGATATACAATGGAAAAAAGACAACCTCTTTAACAAGTGGTGCTGGGAAAACTGGTCAACCACCTGTAAAAGAATGAAACTAGAACACTTTCTAACACCATACACAAAAATAAACTCAAGATGGATTAAAGATCTAAATGTAAGACCAGAAACTATAAAACTCCTAGAGGAGAACATAGGCAAAACACTCTCCGACATAAATCACAGCAGGATCCTCTATGACCCACATCCCAGAATTTTAGAAATAAAAGCAAAAATAAACAAATGGGACCTAATGAAACTTAAAAGCTTTTGCACAACAAAGGAAACTATAAGCAAGGTGAAAAGACAGCCCTCAGATTGGGAGAAAATAATAGCAAATGAAGCAACAGACAAAGGATTAATCTCAAAAATATACAAGCAACTCCTCCAGCTCAACTCCAGAAAAATAAATGACCCAATCAAAAAATGGGCCAAAGAACTGAACAGACATTTCTCCAAGGAAGACATACAGATGGCTAACAAACACATGAAAAGATGCTCAACATCACTCATTATCAGAGAAATGCAAATCAAAACCACAATGAGGTACCATTACACACCAGTCAGGATGGCTGCTATCCAAAAGTCTACAAGCAATAAATGCTGGAGAGGGTGTGGAGAAAAGGGAACCCTCTTACACTGTTGGTGGGAATGCAAATTAGTACAGCCACTATGGAAAACAGTGTGGAGATTTCTTAAAAAGCTGGAAATAGAACTGCCATATGACCCAGCAATCCCACTTCTGGGCATACACACCGAGGAAACCAGATCTGAAAGAGACACGTGCACCCCAATGTTCATCGCAGCACTGTTTATAATAGCCAGGACATGGAAGCAACCTAGATGCCCATCAGCAGATGAATGGATGAGGAAGCTGTGGTACATATACACCATGGAATATTACTCAGCCATTAAAAAGAATTCATTTGAATCAGTTCTAATGAGATGGATGAAACTGGAGCCCATTATACAGAGCGAAGTAAGCCAGAAAGATAAAGACCATTACAGTATACTAACACATATATATGGAATTTAGAAAGATGGTAACGATAACCCTATGTGCAAAACAGAAAAAAAGACTCCTATGTATAGAACAGACTTGTGGACTCTGGGAGAAGGCGAGGGTGGGATGTTTCAAGAGCACAGCATTGAAACACGTATATTATCTAGGGTGAAACAGTTCACCAGCCCAGGTTGGGTGCATGAGACAAGTGCTCGGGCCTGGTGCACTGGGAAGACCCAGAGGGATTGGGTGGAGAGGGAGGTGGGAGGGGGGACCGGGATGGGGAATACATGTAAAAAAAAAAAAAAATGAACTATTTTCAACAATGGAAAAATAAATAAATAAACATATTGTAAAAAAAAAAAAAAAGAAAGAAACAAGGACTGGGAAGTTTGAGCAATGGTGTCTAAGGCCAGGCCAAGGCTGTGAATCTTCTAAAGGCTGTTCTTGTGGCTATTGAATATCTTTTTTTTCCCTTTCTTTTTTCATTGGTATATAGTTGATTTACAATGTTGTATTAGTTTCAGGTGTACAACAAAGTGATTAAGTTATACGTACATATGTATCTTATGTATACATATATATGTACATATCTATATATGTATATGTATATATGTATTTTCAGATTATTTTTCATTATAGATTATTACATGATATTGAATATAGTTCCCTCTGCTATACAATAAATCCACGTGGCTTATCTGTCATATATATAGTAGTGTGTACCTGTTAATCTCAAACTCCTAATTTATCTCTCCTCCCTACCCCACTTCTTCCCCTTTGGTAACTGTAAGTTCATTTTTATGTCTGTGAGTCTATTTCTGTTTTGTAAACAAGTTCATTTATATCTTTTTTTTAGATTTCACATATAAATGAATCATATGATATTTGTCTTTGACATATTTCACTTGGTATAATAATCTCTAGGTCTATCCACATTGCTGCAGATAACATTTATTTCATTTTTTATGACTGAGTAATTTTCTATTCTATATAAATGTATGTATAATATATATGTATATATCATATAGATTATAATATGCATATATCACATCTTCTTTGTCCATTCATCTGTCCATGGTCATCGAAGATTGTTTTTCCGACAGACTCTTTGACAGATAGTATAAGTGCACATGGAGATTGTCTATTGCCTGCCAGGCGCGCCCACCCCGTCCTCAATGCTGTTCTCTCCTCCTCTCTCCTTCTGTTCAGTGCAAATGGTGCCTCCTATGAAGTCATGCAGATCGACGTAGAAATCGAAGAGCCCAGTGACCCGCCGGCCACACAGCTTGTCACATGGCAGGTTGAATATCCAGGAGACATCACATCTGACCTGGGTGTCTCCAAGATCTACGTGAGTCAGAAAGACTTGATCGGAGTCATCCCACTGGCCATGGTAAGAGAGTCCCTGCCCTGGGCTGTTAATACAGACCTCAGAGAAAGGCAAAGCATCACCCCATGCCCTAAACACACTGGGAAAATGTCAGTGAGCCCAGCACCAGGGTCAGGGAAACCTGACAACGTTACTGCAAGTTGCTGATTCTAAATACATACTTATATATCTCTTTAAAATATTATTTAGAAAATAATCAAAGTCCAGGCATTAGATTTGGGTCTTCCACGATAAGAAAAGTATTGACGATTTTATCCAGGCATTTGTATGATACACTGGAGACTGTTCAAGGATCTTAGACACGTATACCTGCAGAGACCAAACGGATCTAGCATCTGAGTGAACGGTGACAAGTGACTTGACAAATACCTAGTGAAAAGGCCTAGCCAACAGGAAAGCCATGCAGGAAAGCCAAGGAAATGTCTGAATTCTTAAGACCTACTGACTTTTCAACAGAAAACATCCAAATAATTTTAGTGTGAACCATCAACTCCTTCTTGTGAGAACTGATTTTATTTTAAATCAAGCTTGTCCAGGAAACGGTTAGCTATAATCCATTCACAGGCCATCTATTTGTAACTTGTAGAAGATTTAGGTCTCTAAGTCAGTCCATGTGTTTCCTAGGATTTGTGGAACAGAGATGTGTTTTCATCCTTAGTCGGACCCGCCCCCTGGTTGCTATGCAATGGACCACACTGCCTGTGTTCCCAACTAACCACCCAGGTTGACCTCAACAAACACATCAATGCCTTGTTTAGCCTTACATTTTCCTGGGGTCTTTCTACAAAGAAATAATATGTTTTCCTAATGTGAGTTTTCACAGTGCAAATGCTTGGGATTGAGAGTCTGCTGAGAGTACTTTGAGCTTCGTCATGTTACAAAAGTACTTTTACTGTTGGAAGTGAAGGATTGGTTGACCTATCCACTGACAGCCTCATGTCTCCCCCTCACCATCTATTAGGAATTATTGACAAGCGTTATTATGGGGCCATGAAAGGATGTCAGGAATCAATCTTTCAGTACAAGGTAACATGGACAGTTGCCTAGTGACACTAAGTTGGTTATTATGCTGTTCATTAGGCGATGTAAAGGTGTTGGGGTCCTACAGTTGATAAGGGCTCTTATTAACTATTTCTTTTATTATATTTTAAAGGCTCCAAATCTCCCCTGGTACATTATTTCATATGTGACAGCAGCACTCCTTAGTTTAGGCTATTAGTGGTTCTATTACTGGCAATGGCAAGACCATTTGTCTTGAATAAGTAATTATTTGAATTTGTTCCTCTTTTCAGCACCTTTAGTCTGATGAGCTTTTAGCCATACACTGCACAGCTTCTGTTGCTTGGCTCAGCATCAGTCTGCTTGGTTTCCTGAGTTCAGCATTTCTTCTGCCTAGACTGTCAGCCTGTTTCAAACCCCACTGTTCTTCATAACCTACATGAATCCCTGCTCACATGAATCCACTTTCTGTCTCTCTGGTCTCTGAAACTGTTCTCCCCTTGCATTACCCTTTCTGCCTGCCATACGTGTAATGGTAGAACTGTGTGTAGTGGCAGAGCTAGAGGATTCTCAGTTTTTATCAGTTAGGAATTGCATTTGACTACAGACAAGCCCTAACCTTAACTCCAAACTTAGCCCTCCCCACTCACTCCACTTTACCCAGGCCAATAGTCACTTTAAGACAAGTGTTTTTCTTTCATGTAAAAGAACTAAGGTTTTTAGTGCAGGGCTGGTATATTACCCCATGCTATCTGAGACTCAGTCTTCATCTTTATTTCTGCTTCAGCACTTGAGAGCATACATTCTATCCTCATGGTTACCTTATGGTCCAAAATGGCTACTGGGATGCCAGCCAGCATATCTGTATTCTGCCAACCAGAAAAAGTAAGAGATAGAGAATTGGATCAGTTCCTTTTCCCTTTCAAGAAGTCTTCATAGGAAGCCAATGTAATATTTCTCTGTGTATCCAATGAGCAAGAACTTGGTGATATGGGCATAGTTAGTTGGAAGGAGGACTGATAAGTCTCCTTTTTAGCATGGCACATTGCTCATGTTCTGTTACAAGGGAACAACATGAGATTAGATATTTCAAGGCAATGAGCAGTATTTGAAAGAATCCCTCTCCATTTCCAGATGAGGAAACTGAGGCTTGGAGTGATTCCTAATCCTAGCACCTGTTTTCCATTCTGTGTTCATCTTTATGAGCCTCCTGGGAAGCAAAATAAAATATACATTTATCTTGGTCTCCTTTTACCGGCTATTGTTGTTGTTTAATCACTCAGTCCTGTCCGACTCTTTGCGACCCCATGGACTGTAGCCCACCAGGCTCCTCTGTCAATAGGATTTCCCAGGCAAGAATACTGGAGTGGGTTGCCATTATTAGCTATGCAACCATGCTAATTTCACTCTGGCTCAGTATCCTCATCTACAAAGGGTGAAAGAGATAATACTCATAAGGTTGATGTAAGAAAGAGTGATAATTCAAGAGGGCCTGGAAGAGTGCCCAGTGAAGTCAAGCATACAATAAATGTTTGCTCTTATTACAATCACTTAGTTACTAAATGCAAAAGATAAATAATTCCCTAGCAATTACATTGTAAAGTCTTTCAGGAAAGGGAATGTTCCCAGTCCCCACATTTCCCAAGATAAGAAGAGTGCTAGGCAATGTGTAGATGCTCACTGATTCTTTTTTTTAAAACAATTTTAAATAGTTACACTCCATCTACAGTTATTACAAAGTATCGGCTATATTCCCCATGTTGTAACAATAAGTCTTTGAGCCTACCTTACAGCCAATACTTCCTACCTCCCTCTCTCTTACCCCTGTATCACCTGTTCACCACCTCTCCCAGCTGGTAACCTAGATTGTTCTCTAGACCCATGAGGCTGCTTCTTTTTTGTTGTATTCACTAGCCTGTTGTATTGTTTTAGATTCCACATGTAAGTGATATCATACAATATATGTCTTTCTCTGTCTGACTTATTTCACTTGGCATAATGCCTTCCAAGTTCTTCCACGTTGCTGCAAATGGCAAAACTTTGTTCCTTTTTATGGCTGAGGCATATTCTGTTGTTTATATACACCACATCTTCTTTATCTACTCATCTGTGGTTGGACTCGTAGGCAGTTTCCATTGTCTTGGCTATTGTGAATGATGCTGCTCCTAATATTGGGGGATACTCTCTAATTCTTGAATGGAAATGAATAAATTGCATTAAAAATGCATAAAACATAGGTGATCTGAGGAGTTTTTTACTAGTTCCCTCTGAGCATCTTCCTCTGGAACTTAAAGTCTTCAGGGTCCTGATTCCCTAGTCTTTTGTATTAGGAGCGTTTTGAGTCCCTTTTCCAGAGAAAGTTGCATCATTTCATCTTTGACTTGATTTCCCTGTTTAGGAGAGTTGTCACTAAATAGACCTTTTGCTGTTTATTTTCATTTTTACTTTATTTTTGTTCATTATATGTTTGTTGAGAAGTATTTGAAATCTGATATCATTGTGTCCATCTACTCATTTGTGCTACATATTCTTTTTTGTTGACGTTTGTTTGATTGACAGTGTTGTGCCAACCTCTGCTTCACAGCAAAGTGAGGCAGTTATATCCATACAGACATTCTTTTTATATTCTTTTCCATTATAGTTTGTGACAGGATATTGAATATAGTTCCCTGTGCTGTACATTAGAACCTTATTGTTTATCCATTCTAAATGCAATACTTCGCATCTACCAATCCCGAAGTCCCAGTCCATCCCCCTTCCTCTCCTAAGTCCCCCTTGGCAGCCACAAGTCTCTTCTCTAGGTCTATGAGTCTGTTTCTGTTTTATAGATAGGTTCATTTGTGCCAGATCCAGCTATCTCACTCCTGGAAATATAACCAGAAAAACTATAATTCAAAAAGATACACATCCCGCTATGTTCATGGCAACACTATTCACAACAGCCAAGACATGGAAACAACCTAAATGTCCATCCACAGATGAGTGCATAAAGAAGAAGTGATACATACATACAATGGAATGCTACTCGGCCATAAAACAGAATGAAATGATGCCATTTGCAGCAACATGGATGCACACAGTGATTATCATACTGAGTCAAGTAAGCCAGAAAGGGAAAGACAAATACCATATAATATCACTTATATGATATGTGTTACCTTTTTTTGAGATGTTAGAGACAGAAGGAAGGCCAGCTCACCTGGACCATAATGAGTCCCTGAAGAGAGAATACTTTGAGTTGAGCTCAAGGTCATGTGGAGGCTTGTAAGCTAGAGTACAGAGGTGGATATTTAAATGTGATAGGGAGTCACTGAAAGGCTTTCAGCACAGCAGTCGCTGTGCTGATGAATGTTTTTAGAAAGCACTCTGGCTGTATGTAGCGAATGGATTTGGGAGAGCAAGGGGGCATCAGAGAGGACGACTTTGGGTGCTGTAAAATAACCACGACTTAAGAAATGTGGCGTCTGCTTGTGCCCACCTCTCCCATCTGAATGTGAACAGCGTTACCAGGTGGCCCCCAGGGGTAGGACATAGCATCATTTTGTCCTCTTGCCAAGTGACTCCAAAGACACTGACCTTATTCACATGGCCCCAAATTAATAACAGACATGTCCATGTGGCAGCCAAGAGGAGTAGGAGAAAGGTGCCAGGGGAGGATGTGCCTCTCTCCGTGAAGGAGATGACCCTTCTCTGAATCCACCACCTCTGCTCCCATCCCATCAGCCCATGAACTCAGCTGAGTGATCATGTCCAGGGCCAGGGAGGCTGGGAGAGTGAGTTTTATCACAGGAGCACCTGTGTCCAGCTGTAGATGTCTTTGGTGAAAGATGTATATGGGGAATGTGTATGTGTAGATGTATATCGGGAAACGCTGAGGTTATTCTGGTCCACTCCAGTGGACTGTGGCGATCTTTGTGGAGAGATGCAGAGGTAGACCATCGTAGGATACATCTTAGCAGGTAAATGAGAGGACTTTTCAATACATTGGTTATAGGTGTGAAGGA